TCACGATGTGGAAGATTGTGCAGAGGTCGCTCGAATCGACCGCTGCCCCGATCGGGTCTTCTCGTTGGCCTCCGACTTGCGATCCTTAGACAGGTCGCCTGTGCTAAATTCTCACCCCGCCTGCGCCCACGTCAATGGCACGTTAGGCATCCCCTGTCTGTTCCCCTGCCCCGAAAACCCCGGCCGCCATGAAGAGACAGCTTCATGAAACTCCTGGTGAGTGATTCAAAAACCGGCTCATGAGCAGTGCCACTGTCCCAAGATATCCCCGGGGTGGGGTGCTGCGGATGGCCCTTTGCAAACCCCCCTGCCCGAGACTACCGACATTGACCTCACCGGTGGCCCCCAAATCCCTACCCCTGCCCCTTTCACTCTTCATATGCTATGGAGTCATTCCTTTGGAGGACATACTCAGTGATATCGCCGCTTTTCCGAAGTCCCCCGGCTGACACCTCCCCTGTTAGCCTTGCAGTGCATCCCAAGCCAAGATGCATGCAGACATCTTGCTCCGTCCTACCAACCATATGGATATTGGCGCGTCTATGTAGGCCAGGGGTCTCAGCCCTATGGCGCGGCAATCGGCGCCTACCATCGAAAGCCATTACGTCCGGAGGCCCAGCCAAGTCATATCATCCATCATGTGATTGCAGGCCAGCCATCTCATGGTCCACTGCTATGAACTGGAACTATCTTTACCCAGAGATATGCGCAGTTTGCGTGTTATGCGTTGGTCTTCTCCATCATACAGCCTCCCTGGTATCCCAAGGCGCTCCTTCGGCCACCCTCCCGGACCACCATTGCTTCGCCCGCACGCCACCAGGCGTTCACAACGGCCGCTCACTGTCTTGGTGTCGACTTCCGTCTCAGCTCCAGCCTTACCGTACATCATCTCCTTGGCTGTGGGTTCTTCTGGATCTGCATGCCTGTCGCCTGGGTCCATGTTAGCCCCCACCGCCGGTGGTGGTCTCTCGAAGGAAGACATCCCGCCTCTTTGACGGTTCGGTGGTCGTCTGAGCTGCAGATGGTCTAGCTGCTTCGGAGATTGGACTTACCAAACTGTTTGACGTCTGGGGGCGTGCAGGACTGCTTCTCAACCGTCTCCTTGGCCGCTACCCGTCGGCCAGCACTGCCAGGAAGTGAAGTCCCTCCCATCTGACGGCCTCCAACCTTCTCAAAGGGCTCGAATGTTTCCTCTTTTTAAAGAGCAGGGACATCCACAGCTTGAGTAAGAGGTCCCGTCGGAGCATCGCCAAGCAACATCAGGACAGACCCTCCATCACACAACCCTTCAAGCATTCAAGCCTGTCTCGCACACCCTCAAATTCTGCGAACCGAGGTCATCAGACTTTATCAACTTTAACATGCCTTCCTCATCTCGTTCCGGAGGATCGAGCCGTAGCTCGCACAGCGGTGGCAGTGGAAAGAAGAGACCGAGCCAGGTAAGCCACTCCTCCAAGCAAGGGCCCGCCCCGGTACTGACACTCTCTGCCCGGCAGTCGAACATTCAGCAGATGATCGACTCCCTCAGGACACATCGCGTCAACACCCTCACCGAGCTCTGCCGAATCGAGCGAGCGGCGGCGACTATGGAAAACGAAGAGGACGCCCTTGCTTTCCAGGGTCCCATGACGGCGGCCTGGGACTACTACGTCAGTAGCTACCAGCTACTCACTGAGCTGCGCGGGTTCACGCGCTCCTATCCCTTTGCCGGAGATATCGTCACCGACGCCCTCATGCGCGTACGCGGGGACCCGGAGTCGAACCGCAGTTGGAACCTGGCTTGGCTGGTTCTCATGAAGATCAAGGAAGAGGACCTCATCCCGGGGTATGCACTCGTCGAGGCCATGAAGCCCGAGATGTGGGGAGGGCGGATGCCCTCGGAAGAAGAGTCGTCGATGCTGGCTGCTCGCTTTGAGAACGAGTGGACCGCAGGTGTCGATACCATGCTGAGGCACTGGACGGTATCGCCAACCTGGTACTGACGACCAGGACTCGCCTCTCATCTCCAACATTCTCTTCTTGGAGTTGATCCTTCGACAGCTGTTTGGTGCTCTTTCCGTATACCTACTGAAGGTATTTGAGGAGGTGCCAACGGGCATGTATGCATCACAGGACTGGTCTCACGGCCAATGATTTCGGTGGAGGGTTCCTTCGGTGCTTCTCTACTCACGACTTGAACGGCGACACGCGACGCTTAATGACGGCTTCCTAGTATATACTCTCCTAACAGTCACTCCTTTATAATGTATTGAACACTACGAGAACCATGCTGCAGCCAACAGGGACTGACATCTGCGTGGTTATTGACCATGAAGGGACGTCGAAGACTGACGATGCACGTCGGTGCACGACATGGCGGGGTACTCGGTAAGGCGGGGGGGCCATGTTGGTGTGTTTCGGTCAATCACCAGAGACCCCAACCACGTGATGCTTCAGGCCTTCAAATTTGAGAGGCAGCCATCGTGCATCCATCACCGACAACTTCGACGAGTGAAGGATCCGCAGCCGAAAGGATTGCTCCGTTCACGCCGACATTCATCCTTCTCTCAATACCGCAGAGGAGACCCAGATTCAGGCCAAGCGAGGGTCAGCCGCGCAATTGGACAGACGAGGTCGATGCGCTGACAGGTCCCCCCGAGTCTCAGCCTTCACCGAGTCAACTCAGTGCCCAGTCTCTGGACATTCTACAACTCCGGGCCGCAAAAGCCGACAGGCTCAGTACAATCCTCTTCTCCGGATCCCGATGTGGCACAGCCCCGTCATTCTCACCGTGACTGCGCTTGGCGGGCCGGGGAGGCATCCATAAGCTGAGTGGAAGTAGAACCAAAGTCCCTCCTTCTCGGCGAGGAGTGATCAGAGCACATTGAAGGCCTCCAGCTCAAAGCCCGCTCAGCTCGCGAGGGAAGCATCTCCCGTCGGCCCTCTGCATGAAGTGACCCGATCGGCCCCGAGTCGGCAACGGCGGTCCGGTGCTGAACCACTCCTGTCACAACATCCTGGCCTGCGCTTCGCATATGGATCATCAATGCGGCATGACCGCCGCCTTCAGGCGACGACGCCCATATTCGAATGACCAGCCTGATGTGCGGGGTGCATGTTGGCATCTACATAAGTTCAGACCATCTCCGACATCATGTTGGCCTCTCTGCTCATCCCAGCCGGCCTCGCCGCCGCACATATCGCGCCGTTCCCGCCCCTCCATAAACGCCAGGGCCCAGGGTGACATCAATGCCCACATTGGAACCGCTTCTGTCGCGCGGGACATGCTGTACATGGTGGACAAGGTCGATGAGGAGCGCCGTAGACGCAACGAAAAGCCGATACGGAACCGTGACGAAGAGCTGCCCAAGTTGCAGTACGCCGGACATTTCTACGGGTCGGTGCTGGGGAACTAATTTGCCTTCATGTTCCCAGATCGTGTAGGCAGGATGATGGTGACAGGTGTTCTGACGCCGATGCGTACAGGGCTGGGGTTAGTGTCCAGGCACAGACGAAGGACGACATGACTGACTGTTGATAGTAGCACTGGAATACCAGCATGGTCGACACAGAGGCGGCCATTGATAGCGCGTACGAGGCATGCTGGGACCGATCATGCCCCTTGCGGCTCGCGTCCGACTCGGCCCCAAGCGACATCAGAGCAAGGATCGACGCTGTCATCGCCGACCTGGACGCGAACTCGGCTTCGGTCATTGTCGACGGCCAAATCCACGTCGTGAGATCAAAGACCCTACGCAGCGCCGTACTTAATCCGGCCTACTTCCCCATGGACCCGTTCGATCTTATCGTCAATCGGATCGAGGCCATCCCCGAGGGCGACTTTACTGACGCCGTCACCAAGATGGTCCCCGAAGACTTCACTGCCTCGGATGCCGCTCGCCTCGTACCGGTGACTGAAGTCGGCGCCATCATCCGCTGCCTCGACCTGCAGAAGCCGTAGCGGCGGCTCGATCTCGCCTGGGCGCAAGAAGTGTACGCCTCGATGGAGGCGCACTCGCCCATCGCCGCCACGGCGTGGGCGATCCTTTCCCTGCGTTGTACTGGCTTCACGCTGAAGCCGGCGTACGACTTGGGCAACGCCTTTGATCACCGGCTCCTGGCACTTCGCTCGCGCCCGATGCGCCGCTTCTCCTTGTGTCCAGCCGCATCGATCCTGTGACGCCCCTGCCGGGTGCGTTGGCCATGAACCGCCAGTACCCCAACAGCTCCGTTGTCATCGCCGAGCTGAGCGGCCAGGACCCCTTCTGGCCATCAAGCGAGTGTCTCCTCAATGCGTCAAGGGCCTACTTTGCCCACGGGGTCGTCCCGCCCAATGGGGCTGTATGTGTGCCAGAACCCGTCGAGGATGCGGGGGAAAGACATGCGGCCGATGATGAGGGGATTTTGATATAATGGGATCTTAATGAGGCCGGTTACAGTCCTTCAGAGGCTGCTACATTTAAGCACCAACTGGCAGGCGTCCATCCGCAGAAGTCATGCAAGGGCAGTGAATCAGCTCATCCGTCATGCACTCTTTTAGCAGACAGACGGGACGATCCGAGTCGCTTCGAGTTACTCTGAATCACCGTCCACCTGCTAAGTCACGATGCTCTATTCAGAAGCCATGAGTTAAATTGATCCCACCATGCCGCGGCGCATTCCAATCTTGATTGCCAACCACTGCTTCGTCCTCGTCGGCGCTTGTTCTCACATCGACATACTACGAACATTCTGCCGCAGTTTCCGAGGGTCGAGTCTGGAAGGAACACCAGAACCACCTGGACTGCAACGAAGTTGTCCACACTTGGGGCTTTCCGAAACGTAACGATGTTAGTGGCAGGGAGACTGGTGTCCGGTGTGTGGGCTGGTGCAAGCCGAGCATAAAAGTACAGACAAGACCTGCCAGATAGAGCAATGTCGACGCCCAGCAGAGTATTGTGGAGTCAAAAAGTATCACGCGAGGGGCGAACCAATGTAGGTGGCCCTAAGTTCCATCCCGTACAGACTCAAAAATGTAAGAGTGGTCACTACCAGGATCGAACTGGCGACTTTCGCATATCAGAACACCGGGGAACCGGGTATATTAGTACGACACTCTAACCAACTGAGTTAAGCGACCAATCGATGTTCGGTTCAGTGGGGACCTGCTCTCATGGAACTCGTTCTTGATGTTGGAAAACTGTGATTTAGAGCACGGCTGTCGCGGCTTGGGACGTCCAGTCGTTATCTCATGAGGGATCACTAAATTCGGCTGTCGACCTTCCTACTTACCTGCATTATGACTGCAATGATGGATTGCCTGTGATGATGGACTGGCCGTACTCATTGGTTGTCAATCAATGTCTGTTGACCAGTTTTTGCAACATCACAAAAGGGAAGGAACGTGTATGACTTCAAGGCTCAAACTGGCCTGAGCATCTCAATTGAATTACAACGCTACGGTGGGTGTGACCAAGCCCCAAACGGTGCACTGGTGTTCACGACTCCTCCGCTGCTGGTGAGCAACAGACAAAACAACCTGATCTAGAATGTCTAGTCGGCGCCTGTTGATGCCTATAGCATCTACGCACGCTTCTCCTCGATCTGGACGGGAGCCTGAACATCGTCCTCGTCGTAGCGCAGCTTCTCCTGGGGAGGGTTGAACTCGAAGACTGGAAGCCGAGGGGTTAGCGAGGGTACAGTATCGAGAGGGCTGTGAGTGGTACTTACGATCGATGGGAGTCGTGGTGAACTTGCGAGCGTTGGTCTTCTTCTTGAAGAGGTAGTCGATGTCGGCGAAGGTGCGGTTCTTGGTCTCGGGGAGGAAGAAGAAGATCCAGACGGCCCAGATGCAGCAGAGGGCGAAGTAGAAGATACCAGTCTTAGCACCTAGGTTCCAGGAGCCCGGGGTGTTGTTCAGGAAGCGAGGGTTGAGGACCTGGACGACGATTTGGCCGCAAACGTAGACGGCACGACCCAGCACAATCGTCTGGGCGCGGACGCGGTTGGAGGCAATCTCACCAACGACGACGTAGGTGGTAGGGCCGAGCGAGACCTTGAAAATGCACTGGACGATGATGAGGAAGACGGCGACAACGATGGCACGAGTCTCCTTGGTCAAGCCAGCGAAGCCGAGAATGCCAACAATAAGCATCGACAGACCAATACCAGTGGAACCGTAGAAGTAGAAGGTCCTACGTCCAAGGGTACCCATAAGAGCAATGGCGATAGCGGTAGCGAAGATGTTGACAGACTGGATGCCCATGTTGTAGTTGAAGGCGTTGGTGGCGCTCATACCAACGGACCTGAGCATGGTGGCGGCGTAGTTGGTGATGGACTGTCCGTTGAGAATCTGGATGGTCCAGGCCATGCAGACGATGCCGGTACGGCGCATGTTAGTGCCGCGGAAGCAGTCCATGTAGCTGGCGTTCTCGGCCTCGAGCTTCTCCATCTCGTTGGTGTGCTTCATGAGGGCGATGGTCTGGCGCATAGACTCCTCGGTGTAGTGACCCTTGCGGGCCAGGCGACGAAGGTTGTGCTCAGCCTCCTCAATCTTGCCGCGGCGGACCAGGTACCAGGGGCTCTCGGGGCAGAAGTAGGCGACGAGGAACAGAGGAGGAACCCACACCCACTGGACACCGTAAGGCACACGCCAGCCGGCATCGCCGGGCAGGCCGATGGAACCACGAAGCACACCGGTGGCGAGGAAGCTGCCGGCACCCCAGCACATGGAGACCCAGGCGGTGAGGTAACCACGGATGGAGGCAGGGCAGATCTCAGCGGCGTAAGCTGTGGTGAGGGTCTGGAAGATACCCTATTCATTGGGTCAGAATCTGTTATTTGTGTAAAATATGCTGGAAGTGAAAGTGCTTACCCAGGGGATACCGCAGAGGAGGTTGCCGACGAGGAGCATCTCGACGCTGGTGGCGAAGAAGAGGACGAAGATGGTGCAGGCCATCAGAGCCATGGCGCCCTGGAGATCGATGAGTTAGCGTGTGCAAGCTGGCGTGTTGATATGTGACAAGACTAACCATGTAGACCCTGCGGGAACCGAAGCGGGACTGAAGGTAACCGTTGAGGAGGAGACCGATGATGGAACCGCCGTTGTTTCCCAGACCGATACCGGTCTGCCAGTTGGCAGGGATAAAAGGGAGGCCCTCGGCATCCTCACCCCATCCAAACTTCTGACGGTAACTCGGGTGGGCGAAGAAGTTGTTGATCAGACCGACGTCCATACCCTCCATGACCAGGGCGAGACTGAGCAGGCAGCTGTAGATGACGGCCGGGCCGTACATGGCGAAGAGGGCCTTGCGGCCCAGGCGAGCCTCCTCGTCGTCGGCGGCGACGGCAGCCTCGACGAGCTCGACATCAGGAACGTAAGCACCGGTGCCGTTGTACTCGGTGTGGGCGACGGTGCCGCTCGTGGCCTTGGCAGCCTCAAGCTTGGAAGGATCAGGGGAGGCCATCTTGTCTGTCGTCTGAGGAGTGATGACTCTTGGACAGGAGGGGTTGTTGACGGTGGTGAGGAACGAGAGAAGGAAAGATGAAGAAAAAATGAGGGAGGGAAGGGCGGAATATAAGCACGTTGCGCTCAAGTGGATGCGGGCCTGGCAGATCTCTCTCAGAGTGTTACCATGGCCGGGATGGCTCGCCCACGTCTCAACCCCAAGTTCCTGCAAGGCAAGGTAGTGAGGAGGGGAGGGGAGGCCACGGGCGTCCCCAGGTCCCCGGGTACTGCCCCCAGTGCCCCCGGTGCCCCATGGGGTCCACGCCGCTGCGTCGAGGAAGCGTCGCGCCAGCAAGGGGGGGGCCGCTGAGAGAGGAGGGGGTGTGTGGGTGTGGGAGGTTTGGGCAAAGCCTCATGGTGCTCGGTTTACCTCGAGCCGACGAAGACTAGGTCGTGCCCGGACATGGGCATGAACTGGCGCGCACCATGTGATGCCTGGCGCTCGGGGGTCGCGCGAGACGGCCCCGAGATGACCAATGGCAAGGGCGAGGTCATCTGGAAGCCCATTGTTTGCTGCCACACCTTCGCTCACGGTTGGTCGAAGCCCCGGACGCCGCCAAGGGCTAGCAGGCCGGGCATCACGACAGAACGGTAGGGCACCCCGGCACTCGCATGTCGAGCTACTGGAATGGCCCGAGGCCGAGACCCCGGGGGGAGGAGAGGGGGTTGCAGTTTATGGACCCCAGGGAGGTGCATGTTAGTTGGAGACATGGGGTTGGCGGGCGTTGGCCGGTTGGCCGGGTGGTGATGGTGCCCCAAGCGGTCATCCAGTTGCATATGGGAGATATTGTTGAGGGGAAGACACCGGAAGGCCGGCGTAGCCGGGTAACATGGGAAGCCCCTGGGGGTTGAACTTGAGTTGCCCCCAGCCTGAGGACATGATGCGGAGAAGCATGGCTCCGCGGCGGGGTGGCCAGTCAAACGAACAACGCCTCTTTCTCAGCGGGCGTGGGGACGCGCCTTTCTGGTCCTGGACAGGCTTGGTTGATGAAAAGGCGCTGGCCAAAAGAGACCGGTGGTCTTGGCAAGCCCGTGACTCGTGACGCGGTGCCGTTCTGACTCGACCCGGTTCCGTGGAACTCGGGGAACTCGGACCCGGCAACCGATCTGGTGACGATGCCTTGGAAATCCAACGTGATATCCCGTCGAGTGACGTTGCCGTCTTAGTGCGAGTTTCCATCACTCAGGGGGGGATCTTGTGGATGGCAAAGTGCCCAAGGGATGTGAGGAGAAGGATGGATGGATGGAGCAAAGCAATGAGATGCCGCTGATGGGGCCGCCCGCCCGTGAAGGAACCGACGGCCGAGGGAGATGGCCATGGGCATGGCATGGATGGATGGGTTTCCCGCCGCGGCCTGCGGTGCAACCCCATGGGTTCAGGGGAGCCTGGGGAGGGGAAGGGGGGATTCTGGACACAGCCCCTGTAAACTCCAGAATAACAAAGGGGGCATGGCCCGCAAATGATGGGGTAACCTGGTAAAACGAGCAGTCTCGCTGGCTCGTCTGGCGCTCAAGAGGGTCCTGTTGCTCCAGGATGTGCCTCGGACTTGCAGGTCGCGTCGCGTTGGCGGTGGCCAGTCAATTTGTCGTATTATCTGCCCCTTCCTGTTGGCTATTCTGTTGGCGGACATGTCAACCGTGTGTGTGGATGCAAAAGTTGGCCGTGATCTCGTTCGAAACCAGCGTGAAATGAGATCATGGGCTGTCTGTCTTGACTCGAGTCGCCTCGTGGGTGGCTCAAGTTGTGAGTCGACTTTTAAGCCGGTGCGTGCGCTGAACCCCCCCGGATTTCCCCCTCTAACTTTTTTTTATGTTTACTGGACGGGCCGCGGTTATGGGGAACGGGAGAGATGGGACGGGGTCGCGGAGAAGGGGGGATAATGGGGAGGCCAGCGGTTGAGCGGGCTCACTTTCCACATTCAAGAAGAGAAAGAGGGGGAGAGGAGGCGGGACTCGGGGGAAACCTGGAAACCCCCCATTCTCGCCCCCTCTTTCTCAAAACTCCCCCAGACCCCGAGGAGAAGAGGCCGAGCTCCCCTCCACATGATGGCTGTTGAGGTGGACTGGGATGGGTGGACCAATGGTCAGGCCTCATCTCCGTATCTCAGCGCCGGGGCCATGGACTGCATTTGGACAGATGCCCCGACATTCCCCTGGTCCGAGAGGAAAGACCTCCCGGTTTCTCCTCTCTTTGAGGGATGAGATGGGGGGTTGAGATGCATGCAGGCAATGAGGAGAAATCGCCGACATGAGCCGGGAAGGGGGGGTTCTACTGGCCAAATGCCACGCTGCCAAGCAGATTCGGCAGGCTTCTCCTCCCATTTCATCTCAGGGCGGATGGCGCCGAACCGCGGATGGCGTTCTTGGGTGCCAGGCGAGAGGAAATTTCAAGCACTCTTGGCCCAACGCCTTCAGCCACACATAGGCAGGTTCTGTTCCGAAAGCCGAGAGGGAGGAAGTCAGCAGGATTTTATGACCTTGGCTGAGGTCAGTCTGATAGCAGACACAGCAGCGAGAGACAGAGAGAGAAGGATGAGGTCGGTTTGGGGTGTCAAAGAAGGGGGTCTGTTTCCTCGCTTCGACGTTACCATCAGTCATCGTGTCGTCGTATCCATCCCCCTTCTCATCTCCAT